GTTCGTCGGGGGCAGGGCCCTGGCCTACCACAACGGGGGCTTCCGCAAGGAGAAGGGAGGGCTGGAACGGGAGTGCCCCATGTGCCGGCGAGCCGGGCCCTACGTGCCACTCTGGCTGGGCTGTGAGGCCGGGCTGTACCTGGACGCAGGGCGGCCCACCCATGCCTTCTGCCCCTGTGGCCACGTCTGCTCCCAGCAGACTGTGCAGTACTGGGCCCAGATCCCGCTGCCCCATGGCACCCACGCCTTCCATGCTGCCTGCCCCTTCTGCGGCACCTGGCTCACAGGCGAGCAGGGATTTGTGCGCCTCATCTTTCAGGGCCCCATGGACTGAGCCCATCAGCTCAGCAGAGGGATGCGGTGGCGGATGTGGACTGAGCAGATGGGACGTGGTGGAACCCGGAGACTCAGCGGGGGCGGGGCCCATGGACTGAGCCAGGGGACCTGTGGACTGAATGGGGGGCAGAAGTGGAGGAGGAGCCCGTGGCTGAAGTGCGTGTGTGTGGTGAGGTGAAGCCTGTGGCCTGAGCAGTGGGATGTGGCATGGTTCTGTGGGCAGAGTGGGGAGGGGGGCAGGAGCGAGGGGGTGCCCATGGACTGAGTGAGAGTGACCAATAAAACAGCAAAAAACCTTGGGGGGAACTATCTAAAAAGACTAAACAGGGGTGTGTCCGTGTGTCAGTTACTGTCTGCCCCCAGCTGGCCACCACCCCTGCCTTCCCCATCCCTTGATCAGACCCTTGTTCTAATCTATTTAAGTTTTTATACCACACACATCACTGGCCCATCCAGCCCAATATCTGTCCCTGCACCAACTGGGCCAAGGATGTGCCCCCTGTAGGCTGGTATCCCAGCCAGTGCCCCCTGCTGCAGGGAGTCCCACAGATGAGGAGAGATGGGGCAGTGGTTGTCCCCAAGAAAGGAAGCCCCAGTTCCTCAGAGTACTGAAGTCCACTGCCCAAGGGTCCTGAGACAGACAGGGGCAGCAGAGACAGCTCAGCTCTTGCTAGAGGATGTGGAACATGTGGACAGTGAGCCTGCACCCAGCTGTGGGCCACGGTGGGTCAGAGAGGAGCCATGAGAACAAGCCTGGAAACCCTGAGATGCTGGAGTCCCTTTGAAGCGCTTCTCTGAAGGAGGATTCCCAAGGGGCTCGATCCCAGTCTCTCTGCCCTGCCCCTGAGAGGGGGGATTTGTGGGAACAGGGGATTTGTTCCTGCATTCCACAGACAAAGGCCAAGCCAGACCAGAGAGCTGGGAGTTGATGCTGGTCGCATTCAGCCTGGGGCAGCAGTTTAAAGGGGAAGGGGGTGTTGCCCTTGGGAGAACTGACTGACTCTCCATCACTTCTGGGGCTTCCAATCCAAGGCTGGAGAGACATTCCCAGCCTGAGCAACGCAGGGGTCAGAGCAGCCCCTTCTGGCCTTGAAATCTACAGAACAAGAGGTTTAGCGGACAATTGACTCCTGCTGTCCCAGGTGTGACCCACGCTAACCTGTGGGTGGCTCTCTGGCTCCTCCTGGTGGCCAGATGGTGGTTGTGAGTGGTCTGCAGGCTTGGAGCTGTCACCATTGCTCCATTAGCAGAGACACAGGAAGGTGCTGCTTCTACACTGGGTGTCCTGGGCTCAATCCCTGATCTGCATCAGGGTGGGAAGGGCATTACATTTATTCTGTAACAGTCAGAGGCTCAAACCAACATCGGGGCATCAGGTGCTGCACAGCCCCTGACCGATACTGGCCCTGTTATGCCAGGTGCTGCACCTACTGAGAGCAGGGCATCCGCTTACTGAGCGCTGCACAGACCCACGGTGAGAGATCGTCGCTATCCCAAGGGGCACTATTGGGGAATCTGATACTGGCCCTGCAAGCAAGGCCATGCCTTTGTTGCTAATGCAGAACAAGCTGTATGCCCATCTGTGTCCCTTGTATCCCTGTGGGTAGCAGAGGCATCATTTCAGATTTTGGTAGGACAACTTTAACCGTGATTCCAGAGGCTATAGAGACTCCTGCCAGGGGGTTTTCCATACAACAACTTATATACAGTGCTCTCACCAGAAAATAATTTCTAATTCCTTATGAAGAAAGAATATTAAATATTAGACCCACTCAGCTCTAATACTCACATGTTCTGACATTTTGTGTTAAGTCACTTAAGGTTCATTGGTTAGGTGTCAAATTTTAATGTATATTCTTACTTTGTTACTAACTCTTGAATACATCAATGGCGACAATTATAGAAAATATATATAAAAAACGTTTTAAAAAGGCAATCTTTCTAAAAGCGCACCAAAAGAGTAAAAATAAAGTTTTCAGCTACTAGTTGGCTAAGTACGAGTCCAGGTAGTTGCTAACTGTTAGCCGTCTAATCTTTCTCCTAAATTGGTAGCTGAAAACTTTATTTTTACTCTTTTGGTGCGCTTTTAGAAAGATTGTCTTTTTAAAACATTTTTTTATATACAGGCAGTCCCCGGGTTACGTACAAGATAGGGACTGTAGGTTTGTTCTTAAGTTGAATTTGTATGTAAGTCGGAACTGGCATCAGCCGCTCCTGAAACTGATCAGTTTCAACGCGGCTGAATCTGGATGCCAGTTCTGACTTACATACAGATTCAACTTAAGAAACCCAGGCGTCCCCAAGTCAGCTGCTGCTGAAACTGATAAGCGGCTGATTCCAGGAAGCCCGGGGCAAAGCAGGGCTTCCTGTAGTCAGCCGCTGGCCAGGTTTAGCAGCCGGCGGAACC